GGCGGTTTATTTATGTTGTAAAGTCTCAAATCTGATAATTTTCTGTGTGACTTGTGCGAACAATTTGATTGACAGTTATAATAAATAATGCGAATCTTGTCTTCCATGCTCAGGGTACCTCTATAAAGGATAGCGCTATACGTAATTAATGTGCCGAAAGTGATGGTAATAGATGGTACGTCCTTTTGAACTATGTTGGGGTATGGCTGTATCTATGTATTTATATATCTATGACATTACATTACAGTTTCCATTCTAAGTTTGTTGTTCTATGGTAATAAGGTGGGTTGGGTTCATAGCTCTCCGTTCATCCGTTGCGTTGATCCGTCAAACGGATAGTGCAATTTGTTAAGGTTCATAGCAATCCGTCCATATCGTACGTTTCCAAGGTATAACCATAACCTAAATTTTATTTTGTACTGTACCCACCGTGATCTTCAGTACGTAGAAACTACTATCAGATTATCACCTCGAAGAACGTAATAGGCGAACACTGTTAAATTTGCTCTTAAACGTCAACAACATAACAAACATAACCTTACTCTTGTTAAAAAACGGACCAACGGAAACGTAAATCTTCAACTTCAACCAACTTTTCCGTAGTAAATGGACGACGTAAGGTAAGTTCATAGCTCTCCGTTCATACGTTTCCGTTTGTCCGTTAGCCAATCAGAAGACAGCAAATTTTTAAATCGTACGTCGTCCGTTTACGACGGAAAAGTTGGTTGAAGTTGAACATTTACGTTTCCGTTGGTCCGTTTTTAACAAGAGTGAGGTTATGTTTGGTATGTTAACAGCGTTCGCCTATTCGTTCTTCACGGTAATAATCAGATAGCAATGTATGTTCTTACTTTCGTACCATTTTCACATACTGAAAATCACGGAGGGTACACTACAAAATAAAGTTTAGGTTATGGTTATACTTGCAAATGTACAATGTGGACGGATTGCTATGAACCTTAACAAAACGTACTATCCGTTTGACGGATCAACGCAACGGATGAACGGAGAGCTATGAACCCACCTGTACGGTTTGAAAATTTACTGTGTTCTGATTGGATAACGGATAAACGGAAACGTATGAACGGAGAGCTATGAACCCACCTTATGTTTGGCATCTTGTCTTCAATGGCGGTCGTGAACGTTTCGCCAAAGATCATAGTGTAGTATGATCTTTGGTTTCGCTCCATAAATGTTTGTTGTTATGTATTTTGTGTTATTTAATGCAGGTAGTAATTTTTGCATTTCTTTATATCGTATTTGTGTTTTGTTTGCCGCATTTTATATTTTTTGTGTGTTTCAATATTTGTTTTTGAAATTTACTTGGTTTAACCGCAATGCAATCATAAGTGTGATACCGTTATGCTATATGTTTACGTTTTTGGTGTAATGTTTGCTTAATTTATGTTTATTGATGTTGATTACTTGGTCTTGTCCCTGAAGTTACATTCATGTAAGTTTTCATTTTATTTTAATATGTTGAAATTGCTGATTCGTTTGATGTATGTACTGACTTGTTGTTTGTTACTAACAATTTTCTCCGTGAATGAAGCAGTCACGGGAGGTGGAAAAAGAAACTGTAGTCTATAATTTTGTGTTAGGGCACCTAATTCCGTGCACTGTCTTCGACATCCAACTGTAGGTTCGAAACCCCGAAACCAGGGGCGGACTACCCATCGTGCAGGAGCGAGATTACGCTAATCAAAGCTCTTCAGTTTAGAATCTATGTGTGTTAAAATGAGTGGCGATTCAATAATCCCCACATATTTTGTTTTTAGTCAAATCTGCCTACAAGGCCATGTAATTTTCCATCTTGCTTTCAACAAAAGGACTTTATTGCACCAAAGATGAGTCACATCCTGTGTATTTCACCCTTTCTCGGAATCTTGGTACCTGCTGCTACCTGACCCATTGTCCCCAAAAACTTGCTTTAACCTTGAGTGTAACCAACATTGTGTATATGCATTTACTATCTTTGTTAACTACTGCTTAAACTTTTACAAAATATTTTGTTAATTAACTTTTGGACTGTTTTAATCAAACTGCAAAGGTTTTTCTTACGTCGTACTCTTTTTACCCTTGGCAGTGACTTTTGCGAGAGTACGACACCTTTTGGCTTTGTTTGTTTTGTTTATATTAATTTACATGAACTAAATTTCCTGGTTTTCACAATCATGATAATTACGATCATTATTAAACAAACTTTTTTTACAATTTCAGTGTTTTATTTAACGTTCCTTCCCTACTGTGCTTCAGGTCAAAGCGTTATCTATAACTAACGTAAGGGGGCCCTGCCTTAGATGTTTTATCACGTGCCACTTTTCAAATTTAAGCGGGATCTTGTTTAGTTTTAGAGGGAATAGTAATTCGGGTGGCCATTTTTAAACGTTGCCGGGTTTATTTTATTTCCGTGTTCTTGTAGTGTGAAATTAGCGTAGACCCTGGGGGTTAAGTACACTACAACGTGATCCTAGGAATCACGATCTTGAAATCATGATAGCGAAGTAGCCGAAAGAAAGCGCCTATCCCTATGATAGGGACTTTATGGAACTACGCGATCGACGACACGTAAGATCCTCAATTAAAGGAAATAGGCTCGAGTTTCCAGCCCTGAGCCTTGTATATACGACGGTGCTGTCGGGTATACTTTTAAAAAAGTACACCTTACTTCGCGATCATATTTTAAAGATCGTGATTCGTAGGATCCACAGAGTTGTATAAGTATACATATACAACTCTGTGGGTTTTGATCATTGAAAGAAAGCGCCTCTTATCTTTTCATTTAATTTAAATTTTTATGTTGGCAACACCTTTTGAAATTTTTTTGGAATCAAAAATTCAAGTCGTCGTGCAGCAAAAATTGTTCCATTTTCGACTGCCATATAATAAATGTACTAAGCTAAACGATACAAAAATTCTGTAACTTCGCATTTATAGTATCAAATTAAATATAACCTAAACGTTGAATATGACAGCCAACCCTAACTATAAGGTAAGAAACCAAAGTTATTTTACACAGCTTGTACATTTCATCTAAACACAGCCGTCCGAAAGCAAGAGGGAGGAGTTCAGAAAGTATTTAGAAAAGACTGGCGTCATGGACGCTTTAACAAAAGTATTAGTTTCGTTGTACGAAGAACCAGATAAACCCGATAATGCAGTAGAGTATCCTTTATATCTTTATAATGAGATTTCCTTAAGTATTGAGTTATACCCTTAACTATAGTAGATATATATGTAACAAATTGTCAAATCAGATATGTGGAGAAACATTGACCGATATACGAGCAAACTTACAAGAAGCTTTAACTAAAATTTCAGACTTAGAAAAGGAGAATGCGGCAATGAAGGTAGAACCGGAAGGGCCTTCCGAAGAAGCCGACGATGTACCTGCAGATTAAATCTGATATTATTATGTTAAAATTTCATAAAAAGTGTACTTTCCCTTGTAACTTAATAAAATGTTAACAATTTAGCATCTTTTTATTAATATTTCTTACCATTGTATTATGTCTTGTTGCCCTAGAAACATACCCATTGCATGTTCTCTTACTAGTTTGTCATCCCCTGCGGTGTTATAAGCCATAATCTTTCGCACTTTCCCTTGACTCTATCATCTGTTGCATTCATTATCTGCTATAGTATACCTTATCAAAAGTGAGGAACATTCGCTAAATGACCTATAGAGGGGTCAGCATCTCTCCTCTTTAAAAACAGTTATTATATATAATTGTGACTATCGAATAGTATGCATGTATCTCCGCCCAACAGTATTTGAATACAACATAGTACAAGTAATATTTAAAACAGTATTTCTGTTAATTACACAATTATCTTCAATTAGCTATACATATATGAAAACAACGCAATAAGCTAATTACATTAAATAATTTAGTATTTTTAAATGAGAAACAAAACTCTTCAAAATCTCGAGTTAGTTGAGTGTTAAGAGCAGGTATGTGCGGAAACAAAATTTTATTTATTTTTTGCTGCTTGACGACGTTTAACATCCCAATTAAAGACTCTTGCCATATTCACTTCGGTTGTAGTGCACTGATCCCTGTTAAAATAAGTTTTTTTACTAATTCCCTTAGATAACTGTAAAATATTGTACCTTAGAAAATCGACATCTTGCTCGACCTGTTCTAAACTATTGGTTGCAGTCGCTATGTTTTTAGTTAATAATGTTTCTGCATCATCTAAACTATATTCTAACATCACATTTGCACCGAGCCATAAACACACTGTATTCGTTGGTGTAACAACTGCCTTAGCGAAAACTTGGTCACTCAACAAGAATTCAGTTTCAAACTCTTCTGTTTCATGTCTCAGTTTCTCGATCATATTTAGGGAACGTTTCAAATCTGGTATTTGAGATTGTAGTCGTCTTTTCTTTGCCAGCAAGTGAAATTCCATATACTTATATTTACAATGCAATTCGTCCAACCGCTTTAGCACCTTTTCAGCGTTTCCTCCATTTTCTGATTTCCCCATGTACATATCTACATCATCCTGTAGAAAATCATAGATGAGCTACATACATTTTTTAACGATTTAAAAAGATTTACCACAAACTCTGCTTCCGGAATTCCGGCATTTGATTTTTTTCCATCATTTATATTGTCACCTTCCATTTCTAAATCTTTAGAAATATACTTTCAGTTAACTTAAAAAGATTATAAAATATACAAAATTATCTCATTTGTGTGTGGGTTAACCTATTTCAGTTTCTCATAAGGATATTTCCGATTTTGTATGATTCTGTTGACAGATGACAGAAACGTTCTTCTGTATGAATGTGTCTACCATAACGCTACTACATTTTAAAC